GTGCGATGTACGCACGATTCTACTTCGTCCTATTCGTGATGCTCATTATTTCCATATGGTCTTTCCTGTGGCCGAATCGACTAGGAGCCCTATATGCGCGCGCTCTCGCCTTTGTCTATTTGTCGTTCTGGACCCCACAGATTGGCCGCAATATCATGCGCAACTGCCGTAAAGCGCTCCGCTGGGATTTTGTGATCGGACAGAGTATTCTTCGTCTGTTTCCGTTTGTGTATTTTCTAACGGTACGTGGCAACGTGCTGTTTATACACCCCGATGCAACAACAGCTTTTGCGCTAGCAGGCTGGGTGTGGGTTCAGGTCTGGGTCCTGGCGAGTCAGGACATTCTCGGACCGCGGTTCTTCGTCCCTCGAGGCTGGGCACCGCCCGCGTACGACTATCACCCAATTTTGCGCGACGCCGATGAGTCTGAGGCAGATCTGGAGTCTGGCGGTGTTCTGCCGATCGGCGCTCTTAGGGCCGAGGATCTTTCCGGTGACGCGAAGGATGAGGACAAGCAGCGGACCAAGGACCGGAAAAAGGCGGTTTTTGATTGTGCGATCTGCATGCAGGAAATCGAGGTACCTGTTCTTGCAGCGCGTGGAGCCGCCGGAGGCAGCAGTGTCACCGAGGGAGCTACAAGTATCCTCAGTCGTCGCACTTATATGGTGACGCCTTGTCGACATATTTTCCACAGCACTTGTCTCGAGAGCTGGATGCGATTGCGACTCCAGTGCCCCATTTGTCGGGAGTCCATCCCTCCTGTATAGATGTATCATAATGGCCTGTCACGAATAGCGCTTTATGCGCAGTGGTACAATGTAATTAGCTCGTACAAATTGAATGGCACTATGAACAATTATTGTCGTATAGGCAATACAGTCAAAGACTACACAGACTTCAAATATTAGAAAACAATATCGGACATATTTCATAGGAATATATCAGAATCTGAACAAGTTTGGTTTAAATAGAGGCCTTCCTTGTTGAATAAAGACCAGCCGCTGGCGGCTCAACAATGATGTCACACATAATACCCGTCAATCCGTACAACATTCCAGAACACAAAAAGAGCCGTCATTTAACATCTAATAGACCGGATGAATTTTATTTCATAATCCAATACCTTCACGAGCAACAATTGACCGACCGTCGTTACAATTAGTGGTCTGCGTCGATGCTCGCCTTGTAGGCGGCCTCATCGAGTAGACCATCAAGCTCCGCAACGTCACTGACCTCGATCTCGGCGATCCAGGCGTCACCCTCCGGGCTCTGGTTGATGAACTTGGCGTTGTCCTCGAGAACGCTGTTCCCCTGCACAACCTTTCCAGAGACGGGCGACAGGACGTCCGAAGCCGACTTGACCGACTCGACGGCACCCACGGCCTCACCAGCGCTAACCTCGAGGTCGGCGTCGGGAAGCTCTACAAACACGACATCACCAAGGGACTTGGCGGCGTACTCTGTGATGCCAATCTTGGCTGGTGAGGGATTGGCCGCCTGTTAGTAGCTGCAGAGCGGAAGACTCGGGTCGTTGGTGTGCGACAGGAGCAAAGGACTCACCTGTCTTGCCATCCTCGCCCAGCTCAATCCACTCGTGAGACTCGGTGTACTTCTTGACTTCCACTGCGTAGCATTATAGACGTTAGTACAATGTTTTGTCTTGAGAATAGCATCTCAATGGCTTCATGAACGCTGAACTGAGTCATTTCTTACAGAAAGGGCTCTGAGAGAAGCTCCTGACACTTCCCCGCGGGAAACACAGAGCGGGCGAGGCCCTGCGGACGCTGGAGGTCAGAGGAGCCTTCTGAGAAAGCACGCGAGAAGCGAAAGGACGGAGGGATCTGGCGACGGCAGACATCTTGTTGGGGAAGCTAAAAATTAGAGGAAAGAGTGACAATTGCAAGGAGAAGGAGAATCCAAAGAAGAATGGAAATGGATGATGATAAACCCGCCGAGGAGAAATTGCGATTAAATGGAGCTGCGAACTAGCTTCCCGAACTGATAGGCGATGCCAAGACCCGCTGATAAGGAACTGCCGTCTGTTGTCCGCAACGCCGCAAGGGAAAATAGTTGTCTAGCTGGTGACCGCTCCCGAAAATCTCCTCCGCTAAACGCCATTCATTTTCCGAAGCGTCGTCCACAATCACGCCGTCGATGCGATGTTGTATGAACTGATTGCTGTTGTGAGTACATTCCTTGTCGCCTTCTTTCAAATATATCTTCGGCTTTGAACTAACGTCCTCAGGTCCGTCCAGGCAGCCTCAACGAGGTCCGGGAGTACGTCTCGCACCCCACCCCACCCTTTGTTTCGAAAAGACACATCTATCCTTTATATCTACATTCCAATGCTATTTCGGGTAGAGTATGGACTCCCAACTAATTGATGAACAGAATTGCTCGTAATGCCGGCATTCAAGTCCTCCGATCAGGTGGCGTAGTCCGCGGATACACAAACTGGGGCACGTTCCGACTGCCCAAACCCACCACCAAACATCAAGCTCGGTACACCGACGGCCATCACTTCATCATGCGCTTCGATGCTTCAGGCGCCGTTCAGTCCGCCGTCCGCAGAACCCTCGGTCTCGATCCACGGATGATCCGCTTCTCAGTCGTGAAGCTGGGCGACAAGCTTGAAGAGATCAAGGACGTGGAGGGAAAGGTTGAATGGACCAAAGCTCGCAAGCTCGCCGATTCGATTTGAATGTGTACACCTATCATGGACTGTCGAAATGAGTAGCGGGGTTGACCTGAGCTGCGTTGGTCTTTCTGGAATTTGAATGCTGGCATTGCGACATCATTGTATCATTTATGGGACTGGGACTATCTGTACTATAATACCAACATTGCAGGCGCATAGAGATTGATTTCCTTTTTGAGTTGGAACTCCTTTTCTCACTTTTGATTCAGCTTAACGATGAGCACTTTGTTCATTGTAGTTTCTTCACGTGACCAGCATATCTCCGATCAATAACCCTTCTGGTCCCAGCTTTCAATACGATGAAACAGGAAAGTGCACTACTCAGAACTTATTAAACAAAGCAATTGTCTCACTTGTATCTTTACTCTCCTCTTATGTTTGATGCTGATGGAGGATGCCGCGTTGGCATTAAGTGCATCGCTTCTTCCCGATCAGCCGAGGTTCCTATATCGGCTGAGGAGATGATCGTCTAGCTACCGCTTGGCTAACTACATAATTGTGTTGAAGGACCACTGTGCTCGGGTGCATACTTTCTGCTGGAATATGATACCCTGCTTGCAGAATCCTGGACCCAAATTTGATCCTGCACCGACCTGCTCTTGTGCTCCCTGAACAGAGAACCAACCTACTTCCCCGCACAGCATCATCATGAGCTCGAAGGAGAATGGGCCTAGCAGTTCCGGAAAACTGCCCTTTCGCGCCTCCTTCGTCGAATTAATGGGCCTCAAACGTCTCGACTCGCCCAGCAGCACTCCGGACGCACCAGAGAAGGTCGAGCGGTTCCAATCTCTCGCGGCACCGTACCCTCCTGGCATGGGCGGAATGGCATTTGGCGGGCACGTCTACGCTCAATCCGCATATGCAGCGTCGAAAACCGTCGACAGGGGGTTTGTAATACACGTAAGTCTGCCTACCTTGACACACTCGCCATGAATACCCGATTGAACTGAACAACCAGGACATGACGGGCACGTTCATTCTACCGGGCCTACTAGACGTCCCGTACGAGTATACAGTTCGCCACATGCGAGACGGGAGCATGTACTGTACGCGCGCTGTCGACGCACGGCAAAACGGCAAGATCTGCTTCTCGTGTTTGTGCTCGTTTAAGCGCCCCGAGGGGCAGCAGACGTTCCACCATCAGCCGGGCCCGGCACAGGAGCGCTTCAGGTCTCTTCTTGCCGGGAAAAGGCCAGAGGATTATCTGTCTAGTCCCAGCGTGGATGCGGACTGGTGGATTGAACAGGTTCAGCGGGGGGATATAGCCGAGCCAGAGTTCCCGGGGCTTGATGTGAGGAAGGTGGATATGACGAGCTACAATGCCACGGAGGAGGTGAAGCAGAGTCCGGAAAAGTATCGTCAGTTGACACTTTACGCCCTGAAGGGGTCACCGCAGGACTCAGATGTTGCGCTGAGCAAGCAAGACCTCAAAGCCAGAGACAAGACAGGCGAGTTCGATAACCTCTATGCCTGTGCGCATATGTATGCGAGCGACAAGAACTCGCTGTTATTGATACCACGTGCGTTGGGACACAAAACCTGGTCTGCAATGGCCAGTTTAACGCTGACGGTGGTTTTTCACCACCATGGTGAAGCGCTGAGGATGATTGACTGGGACGTAGGGCAGGAAGAGGATGGAAAGAGTTTGCCCAGGAAATGGTTTATCCAGGAAGGCTGGACGCCTACGTCGGGAGAGAATAGAGCTATCCATGAGAGCTATCTGTGGAGTCCAGATGGGGTATTGCTCGCCACCAGTTATCAGGATAGCTTGCTCAGGCTGAAGAAACCGGGCCGTGGGAAACTATAGAACGTTATGTAGATATTTATACAGGGTTGGTATAATTTTCTATTTATTATTGCAATAGAGTTTCATTCAAATTGCATTAAAGGCCAATAACATCGTCAGCTGCCATGAAGGCGATGCTCGACGAGGTTCATGGTTGATGGAGACTGGAGTTGCTCGATAGTCCATGTGGAGATGTTGACCCGGGTGCCCGCGTGGAACTGCCCAGCAGGGCTTAATCCAGTGGGGGACATTTCCGTTACTTGACGAAGCACTGGAGATTTAAACTTCATCTGCCCATCTATAATTTGACAATACATCTTTCATCCTTAAGTCAGCACAGCGAATAACTATTCATAGAGGATTTAATAAGGAGAATCACGGGTAGGGAATATCGGAGCAGAATCGTGTGCTTCACCGAAAGTTCAGTATCGAGTCCAAGGTCGTATCAATATACAACCAAGGCCGACTCCAGACAACCCATAACTGCATAACCACGTCTTATAAACAAGCCTCAGAATGGCCATCGAGGTGGTCAACCTCACCGAGGCGGATATCCCCGAAGCGATCGAGGTGATCCAGCGCGCGTTTGCCGACGATCCATATTTTCAATGGGTTTTCGATCCAGCCAAGGTATGTAGCATGGTAACGGAGTACACAGGAGACACCGTTGAGATTTCCCGCTAGGTCGAAATCCTGTTGATCAAATATTGAAGCTAACATGTGCTGTGTCCCATGACGCGGTCGAGTCGACGCCGACCTGCGTCCCGCGTCACCTGAGATTCGAACCACATAGTTCAATAAACAACGGAATTATGGTTCTCTTGAAGCACGATGCCGCTGGGGTATCCACAACGCCATCTTCCAGGTCGCCAAAGAGAGCGATGGAAACGACTCCCCCTCTCGCGTGCTCGGTGTTTCATGCTGGCTCCCGCCTCACCCCGCTACAGAGCCCGAAAGCTGGTACAGCTGGGCGCAAAGCTGGCTGCTGTCGTTCCGGCAGTTCCTGAATAATGTGCGCCACATGGGCCGGGGAGGGCTCAACACGCGCCGCTATTGGATCTGGAAGGATCGTCAACGGGAGGCGCAGAGTCAGATCTGGGACGATCCGCGAGGGTACTATTTCTGTAACATTGTGGCGGTCAGTCCGGAGGCGCAGGGAAAGGGGATCGGGAAGAAATTGTTTCAGGCTGTCACTGATCGAGCGGATGAGGAAGGGGTAAAGTGTTATCTGGAGAGCTCAAAAGAGGTGCCCAACGTGGAGATCTATCGGCGGATGGGGTTCGAGATGGCCAAGGCGATGGAGTGCAGGGATGGCAAGGATGTGTGCATGGTATGTTTGTTTCCAGGAGGGCTGCTCAGAGTCTTGTTATTATCATTATTAACGTTTTCTTGTAGCTGCATTGCATGGTCCGAAATCCAAAGTCCAAGCGTTAAGGAGAGGCAGGCGAGATCTTATTGCTGCGGTGCGGCATTTACGGCAAATGGCACGATCGAGATGCAGAGGGATTATCCTCGAATTGAATATCGGCAGCCAAGGAGTATGATTATGAACAAGGTTTGGGGCCAATAAGAGCACTGATCAATATGAGCATCGATAACACCTCTTGTTCGTAATATCAAAGTGTAACAACTTGATGTGATGCCCAGATTAACCTCTGAAAAGCAAGCAAATCACACAAGCAGGAGGTCACCTGTCAGAACTTTGATGTGTCAATCCATGCAACTTGATCCATAAAGGGCCCATGATCATCAACGCACATACGCACTCAGACCCAGCTATTTACAATGTAGACAAGGACTTCAAACGTCAACTCGTGACCCCAGCCTCGGAACGTGCCTATCGGCTCTGGCCGCCCCATCGTGCTTTGGGACATGTCTACCGGCAACACCGTCTAATCCAGGCAGCAAGCGGAGGATAGGTGCAAGGAATAAAGCACGTACAGGGTATATAGTACAAGGTCCAGGGTTACAGCATTCTAAAGCACTAGCAATACAGAAGTTTTAGCCAGGACGTTTGAGGACCTATTCGCCTAATGAAACGCCCTATTCTACCAGCAAGAAGCGTAGGGATCACTCCGTAGTGAATACTTCACCACCGCACTGCTAAATCAATATCCACCGTTCGTCAAACATTCCCAATAACGGAGAATACCCGGCCCGCGGGCCTATCATCGGCCGAAACCTACTACCCGTAAGAGGAATTGGGGCCAATATTGGGGCCAATATTGGAACCGCGGGTGGCTGAGCAGGAATCAGCATAGCGCTGTCCCCTCAGTCTGCGTAGATCACTTGTTTCGCGGTCTTCCTTTCCGTCAATGAAGTATTTTGAAGTATCTTAGATCGTCCGGTGGGAGTGGTATTGTCGATATCCCTTTCAGAACGTGACGCGGCCACTCAGTTATCAATCTCTTAAATAGGAAGCTGGGATGCATTTAGACTTTCCAGGTGATGCTTGATGTTGACGCGGCAGGCTGTCACGAGCTCGACAGTCCTACCATATCCTAATCAGATGGATTCGACAATGCAGTTAGCCGCCATTCATGGGGCGAGCTCGCAGAATTAAAGGAGCAGCACGGACGTGAAATGATTTAACTAGTTAGTGAGTTAGTTAGCTGATACTGGCATTACTCAGCGGCGACAGAACTAGTTATATCGGTTACGGAGTAGTATCTAAGACATGGACAAACTAGCCACGACTGATACCAGGCAGCTTGCTATCCAGTGAGTAGGTTCAGTTTTACTTATTGTCATCTTCGGTTGTGTTATGACCTGAACCATGCTTATGGCGATGTTACTACAGTGGCATGGTACTTCAAGTGGCACCTATATATCTAAAGCTTGGGCAACCTCAGCGAATCTGATTTACAAATGCAACACAATCTCAGATATTCATATACATGAAGTATGAAGTAGATGATACTAATTTCCACAATAGACAACCCACCAACGGCGTTTCATACCTGTACCATTGGACGCCACACATACACACCATTACTTAATATATGAGCTCAATATAAGAACCTAGTCCAGACCACCCCTGAGCTCATAGCAAGCTGCGCCGATACTGCATTGCATACGGAGTATGGCCCGTGCGCCGAACCCAGCTGTCACCTTACGGGAATCGACTCTGGCGAGCTCGAGGACGTCGGAATGATGCATCCCTTGTGCACTGTGCAGAAGCACGATAAGCCAGTGTGGCTAAAGTGGTGCGACATTAAGACATTAGGTACCTTTGTGGTATTCTAGGCTCCGTGGAGCTTGAGTAGTACCGCCATCCTTCTCCTTTCAAGTACCTAGCTAGGAAGGTGTTGACAACTCATTGACTCTACCGAGTACACCGACCCAAGACCAAGATATTAGCCACATATCACATGAAAATCCGTACCCATGACGACGTTTTCAAAACAACTGTTCAGCCTTTAGCCAGCCATAGCTGTAAATTTCAAAAGCACCTCGATAGAGCTCCAGTACATTGTAGGGTAGGCAGCACTGTAGGCTATTTCTATAGCCGTCGGTTAAATGCTCTGAGGCCTTTTTACCCGTCAGGGCAACCAGCCACAATCTATACAGAACTATGGAGCATGAACCTCAATAGATGAAGGTGACGAAATCAGTCTTGGGTTTTGCCCTTCTATGACGTTTTCGAGACATATCACGTAGATAGATGCTCTCTGCGTCTGCGTTGCTCCGCTGATCACTATCAACGCAGCAAATCAGGTATTCGTAGCTATCACCACTTATATTCAGGGCACGCAAAGGACAAGGCCATTGCTATACGTATGATGTCAGCACTGTGAATGAACGCATGGACGGTCGATCTTCATCATGTCGCTGGTCAGCTGAAGATGTAGTCAGCGCTACGATCTGATTGTTTCAAGTAAGGCAGTTTACCCACTAGCATGATGAGTGGGTCAGGAACCACTACACTGACTCGTTGGAGTTTCTTATTTCAAATTGTCCTCTTGTGGTTGCTCCCTGAAGAACAGTTGATAAACGACGGTCTTCCCAGTGCTAGTGGAAATAGAGGACTTCTAGATAGCGCAGATAGTACAGTAACGCTGCCATCTAGATTCATTTATTCCCGACAACCCTACTATTATATATTATTCCCGTAGTGCTCGGCTCGTATATACTCGCGCAGTAGTACCTGATATGTATGCATAATTGCTACGATGCATGCTCGGGCCGAGGGCACGGTCCGCCTGAATCGCCGTTCATTCTTTGTAACTTCGCATCCATCAGAAGAAGCTAAGCGAGTCTAAAAGGTCAGTAAACTTATTTAGCACCTCTACACAACCCATTCGGACTCGAAACTGCTTCTGATTTGTTGCGCTTTGAGCCCATTAAGAACCCATCGTTTCGTAGTTTGTTTATCGATCATTAGCCGCAGAGCATATAGACCACCTTTCCATCGAATGCTCTCGCAAGTGCAACTTCGTGCATGCCATGTGCTGTCCTGATCGTGAGTTGTATGAATGCGAATGGCTGTCGAGTACAATGACGTGCCGCTGGGAAAGCGTCCGAGTGCAGTCCAAACGGCGGTTGTGTAACCATGCCTGTCAAGGCTGCAGTGGAAATGTCATAGTTCCATCACGATTCCACATAGCGCTCGAAAGGTCCAGAAGAAAAAAGAGCTAACCTGGACGAAGATAAGGTACAAACTAGCACTGGTTTTAGCCACACGGAACGGACATACCGAAAGGCTGCCGGCTGTCTATGGTATGGTCTTGTCAAATCACCAGTCGATGCAGGGAAGCCTGAGAATATCTTCGATGATTGGAGGATAGAGCAAAGCCAGTGAAGCAGGGGGCAAACGCAACAGGGGGCCCCAGTCAGTCTAGACAGAATTTATATAATTTCATTTTCTCCCAACACCCCTGGTCGCTTTAGACTGTCCAGCTTCCTGAATGCCGTGCCGCAGTTGGGCGATGGAACCCAACTCCCTGCTACCTCTGGGACCAGTTAGTAATGGGAGCCAATTGATTTAATTGGTCGTTTAGGCCTGTTTTTTTGGCGTTGACGACGCCGAATTGTCCTCATTGCTGCACAACTCCGGCTTTCTAACCTTGAGAGGAAAGGAGGAGCACGGCTGTGCTTATCTCTATGGTTAGTGTTACTATCCTCTGGACGGTATATGCAGACCCGATTGCGAGATGCTGTTTAGTAAAAGAAAGCGCCGGACCTCATCTGGTCCTCAGTAGATGCAGTAGCATATGGGCTTGGCAATGTACCGTCTGGGGTGCGATGCAGGTCTTTTGCGTCAATGGTCGAAATGAAAATTAATTGACCTTGATAAGGTATTGGAAGTTGAGAGAAGCGAGAAACATTATTTAAGTTTGTCGGTGCGTGGCTTTTGTTCATTTTCTGTTGTCTTGTATTGCCCCCTCCTCATCTCGAAAGTTCAACTCAAGGTGCTTGAAGAATTGCACAAAGAAACGGGTTTGGAAGAAACGGCATCGAAAACAAGACACAGGCGAACAAAGTAAACTTTGAGGAAAAGGAAAAGTCCGGGGCCTGACCCCCGCCTAACGGCCAAGGCGTGTTTGATCATCTTCGGAGACGGAGTAGCTGCCAGCCCGTTGAACGAGTCTTATAATTCGCTGCACTGCCTGCCGATATCGTTTGAGCGTCGCAGGTTGTCCAAACCTATCCCTTTGATTTATTAGGTCCGAGGAATCAAAAGGTGACACAATCGATTCCTAGAGAACTGCATGTCGCGTACAGCCAGCATGTGACTCTGACTGTGGTCTGTGTTGTATAACAGGAAAGCCCCGGAGCAGCGAGTGCAGACGGTCAGCAAAGTACGGTGGTATCTAGTTGCGATATGGCAGTAATCGAGACATTCGCTTCGATGGGTGTCGCACCAACTCAAGGGAACCAGCGAGGAGGAGTAAGTTGAGGTGGAGGGGGGAAAAGAAACTTGACAGAATCAGAATAATAATAATAATAATAAAGACAGAAAAAGAAAAAAAAAAAAAGAAAAAAAAAAAAAGAAAAAAAAAAAAAGAAAAAAAAGAACGGCCAGACGGGGAGATTCATGCAAGAAAATCCATTCGCGGTAGGTATACATGACAAGAACGCCAACACCCACCAATTCCTCCCCGTGTACAGTTAGTTCTCCGAGCGCCTTTCCATGCCAAAAAACCAATTCCGATTATACACGCATATCTGCCATTTGCTTCGCAAACAAGAAGATTTTATATCAAGGGGGAAAGACATCCGAGAATTGACGTGATCCCTAATCCGTAGGAAGTATATCGCACAGTGAATTCGTAGTCATTATTGTGACTCTGCGAGTCACAGTTGAGATATTCAGAAGATGAAATACCCCGCGTTGATAATTGTTCCATCTCGCAAGGCTCTTTTCCTTAGAAGACCTTGTCAACAGAGGGTCGGCAACTCCAGACAGAGCATAGAAGCGGTGCGCCGTTTCAGGACGACCATCTAACAGTCTCTGGTCGTAGCTGCCGAAGGTTGGATGCATGGAACATGCAAATGATAGGAGCTCAACGAGGAGGACAGAGGCGGCATTTCCCCACGACTACAATGAATCTGTCATGAGGGCTGTCC